CCCGTTTTTACTGTATAGAAATAAAAACAAAAAAAAAAAAAAAAAACAAAAAAAAAAAAAATAATTGTGGAAAAAAAAAAAAAAAAAAAAAAAAAAAAAAAAAAAAAAAAAAAAAAAAAAAAAAAATCAAAAAAGGAAAATAAATAAAAGAATCGAATAGGCATGTGATAAAATTATTCTTTCTTTCACTTACGACAAATTGTTGACGAATTTATCTGAATTGTACAATCGCCAACAACAATCCAATTAAAATCGAACCCGCTTTTACCACTGCAACCTTATTTCCGGCTCTCTCTAAAACCAGGGATCCGACTCCACTCCTCTTTTTATTCCCAAGATTAACTTCACTCCGCTCGTTTTCGCATTCCGTCAGATTACTTTTTGTTGGCTTAATTATTTTTGCCGCGCCTTTAAACTCACAGGCCTCCTTCACCTCTTTCTGTGCCTTGTAATAAACGTCGAACATATACGATAATTTGTCCTCAGGGCTACAATAACTAAATTTTCCATATTTACCACTACTACCGTCCATACTTATATTCGCACAATCCACCAGTCCACACACAATTCCAAATTGTCCGTCCATCAATTCACGATTGTTGTGGATTTTTGATGATGCGACGCAAGTGAGAGAAGATAACATGCATTCGCACACCTCCCGTCGTGGTGTTGGCGGTAGCACGGTACTCGCATTCCACACTTCCGACTTATTTGGACACTTAGAAGGTTCGGTGTTATCGGTTTGATATTCATCCATCTCCAATCTCGCTCCACTATGTCTCGCATCAATTTTTTCAAATTGACTCTTTAAATTATAGAAATCTTGCAATTTTCTGACACTTCCATCTTGACTATTGATCTCGACCAAACCATAAGAATTTATTTCTTGTGACCACTCGAAGACGACCCCACCAGACCACACAGAAGACATCTGTGGACCATATATCGCGGCAACTTCGGTGAATGGGCGCGGAAGAACCAGATTACAACCATATTCAGAGAGTATTACTGGAATTGAGTATGAGGAGAATTCCCGGGTTCGATCGGCGTAGCCGGATTGCTCAAAGGTGCTTTCACCGCACCATTCATACAAGTTGACACCATAAAAGTCGGCCTGCAGTTTCCATAAAAGCAGGTTAATACTATTCTGGCAACCGTTACTAAGATCAAATATGTATATACAGTACATGTATATACAGTATGTACAGTATCTTCAAACAATAATACAATGATTACCCTTTCGTTGTCGTTCCCGCAATTAAAGTACTCCGATATTGGAACCCTTATATCCTGGTCATCGTTACTCGAATATCCCACCGGCACATACCTTCCGCCATTCTTCACCACATTTT